CTCCGATAACATCAGGCGTACCTTTTTGTTCCACTCGGGGGTTTGAAACATATGCACCGAGGGTGTGACAGAGAAAAAGAACTAATAAAGAGATGGAAAAGCAGGCTACAGATTTAAGGAGGAGAATGATATTATACATACGCTATCCATCACAGTGACACTAATTCTGCCATTTCTTGTGGATGATACATTATCATTATGAGGTGATTCAGTGCAGGCTATATAAATCATCCTGGAAGGTAACAGTACTCAAACAGAAACTAAAGGAACTCTCTGGAGGTTTGGCCAGTTGTAGCGCGGCGGAGCACGGTTTTATGAGAGGGTTCACGTTTGTTTGTATTGTGAAATGCTGCAATGTTCCCACCTTGTCCTGCTAATCAGCAGTGTAACGTACAAAATCTCACGCTTACTGAAAAGTCTTAAAACTCAGACTGTATATAAAAGATGCACACACACTAACATCACCCATTGGTTTGTGGACTTTTGCTATGAAGCCTAAAGTTGGCTGTTGCTAACTTGTTTTTGTTTGTTTTTATTTATTTGTTTCTAAACCAGATGTGCCACAATTGGGCAAAAGGTTTGGCGTAATTGTTAGCTAGCATTAGCTTTATTAGTTAGCTGCTTAGCTTAAGTTAAAATCACTTACTGACTGAAGTGGACAGCCAGCTTCTTAGATGTCTTCTGGTAGCGACCTGTTTAACTGTTGCTCAAAGTGGCCAAACAACTACCAATTTAAGCCTTAATATATCATTTAAATGGCCAGCATTGACCACCATACTGTTGTTGCAAAAGGAGAAAAATGCAACACCTTTTTTCTTAGAGTTTAAAAGTTTTACAAACTTGTATAAAAAGTTTATAAACTTGTTTATTTGTGCTGTAAAGTTGGTCTTTTAAACATAAGGAGTCTATGCTTGAGTGACTTGTATTTGGAGACGCTCTCAAACGGCTATTTGAAGAACTGCAGTTTTTGGCACGAGTGCACTGGCTGCAGGTTTCAGCCTCGGAGGTTCCAACATTTAAATTATTTTAAAGGTCTTTATTTTTTCATGGCGACAGAAGTCCATTCAACACTGAATAGACATTATGCATTAAATTTCATACTATGAAATGTTACAGTGCGTTACAGTTCATACTATAACACAGCGGTCCCCAACCCCCGGGCCTCGGACCGGTGCCGGTCCGTGAGTCGTTTGGTACCGGGCCGCGAGAGTTGAGGCTCAGGTGTGAAATGTGTGGTTTTCAGGGTTTTTTTTTATCGGTTTTCAGCGTTATTTTGTTATCGTTAACTCGGTTTTCCTGGGTCTTTTCACGTGTGTTATGAATAAATCGTCTTTTTTTTCAATACCGGTACTAGTTTTATTTTGTTGTATTTATCCGTGACACCTTAAAGGCCGGTCCGTGAAAATATTGTCGGACATAAACCGGTCCGTGGCGCAAAAAAGGTTGGGGACCGCTGCTATAACACATACACTGTCTTGTGCAGTATTAAATTCCACACTTGTTTCACTTGTGATTTGGCTCGCAGATATTTTTGTCTGCTAGAGGCGTGCAGCAAAGACAGCAAGATGGGCTGTTATAGACAGATGGGCATAGGCTGCTTGGAGCCTTGTAGCAACCAAACGGGAGCTAGTGGAGCCCAGACCCTTTTAAAACGGGGTCACAACAACTTTTTGTAACTCTATTTTCAGTCAGATTAACGGCCTCATATGTGTTTTTATTGTTGTGACATAATATCAGGTCAGTCTCTTCAAAACTGCCTCTTTTTTCTTTTTTCTTTCAGAGCAGCAAAAGAGCTGTAATGGAGAGAGTCGTTAAAGTAATGGGATGTAGTGAAATGGAGGGAAAAGTGGGAGTGGAGTGGAGGTAAGGAGGGGAGTGGCTGCTGGAAGTGGGTCACAGTGGCACTGACGTGATAAAAAGCGACGCGCTGAAAGGGGGGATGGACTCGTGCCGCCGTCTGCGTCACCTTTTGTCCGGCGCGCACACAGATATATACAGTCTCACATCAGCTCAGTTCAGCGGGTAAACATCAGTAGCACAGATATAAAAATAGCTCACGTAAAGGCCGGATTTTCCTCTCTCTGTCAGGGCCTCCGGCATTCTCATGCTGCATTGTTTACAGCCTAGTTGGAAATATTTCACTGCTTCACAGCATCTTCTACTCGCTTATTCACCTGTTTAAGATTGCATTCAGGCTGTGCATAAATAATAACAGCCTCTCCCATGATCCTGTTTTTGTTGGGCTGTGTGTGCATGAAAGAGCAGATGCACCGAGCTGGGGTTTGAAAGGCGGTTATTTTGGCTCTGCTGTGTGATCTCTGTATGATCTGTAGCGTTTCCTTGTGGACGAGTGATGCAGGGGAGAGGATGTGTTGCTGGAGGGGCTGCGGGGATGAAAGGATGAAGGAGTGGCAGGGGAGCCAGGGAGCAGTTTAATTGCCTGACCCTTCTCCCACCCGGATGACTCCGGAGCCGGGTGTTAAAGAGAGAGGGTGACGGCTGGATTCCACGAGCAGATCCCCGCAGCTCTGAGCGTGTGTGTGTGTGTGTGTGTGTGTGTGTGTGTGTGTGTGTGTGTGTGTGTGTGTGTGTTCTTGTGAATTTTCTCACAGCAGATCTGCACATATTTGAGAAAGACAACTTAATCATGCCGTGCGTGATGCTGAAGGGATGCACTTTGAGATTTAGCCTCCTATAACACATCAAAGGCTTGTGGGGAGTAGAAGGGGAGGGATGGTGCTGTGTTATGTGAAGAAGCTGTTCATGCTCGCGTCTGTGGAACCCATCACTTAGGGCCAATTCTGTTTTTGTTTTGTTTTTCTAGTTAAAATGGAAAACTGCATCAATATTTACCTTCGACTGTACATCTTTACATCTTATTGTTATTTATTTGGTCTTAAGAAGATAAAAAATACGAGTTTGTTCGAACACTGATGGTTTAATCTTAATCCCTGTGAATAATCTCAACATACACAACAGTGGGGGAGAAAAGCAGCAGTTAACATCCATTTTCTGCCCCCCCCTCCCCTTTCAGAGTCTTCTTCGTTTGTTGTTTGCTGACTGAACGCTGAGGAACCTTCATCCTAATCAGCTTGAGATCTGGCTGCAGGTCAGGCAAGCAGATGAATACAGATTAGAGTGTCACAAGGCAGTAAGAGAGGATTACCAGATCTGGCCAGCGTCCCACTGTGGCCTCCTGTAGGTGTCCAGTCACTGGCTAACAAGTGTTGTCTGCACTGGCCCTTCTTAAAAAAAAAAGTCATGGGGTTAGACCGATTGGACTTGGCTCTGTCTGCTTTCAAGTTGTGGGAAAAGATTGATGATCCCGTGGGTTTTAAAATAGGATATATTTCCCTTTCTTCATACTTGTTTCACATTATTACACAAAGAAAAATGATGCAAAAGAAGATAAAAGACAACAGTAGTTGAATGAAAGACAACGAGGGCTTTACCACTGCTGTTCTGGTAAAGTGCATTTAATACAGAGCACCAATTCTGACATGAGAACACTTACAGGCTCCAGATTCAGTTCTGAAAATGTTGTTCTGCATCTATAATGTAAGGTAGATTTAGGACACCAGTTAAGCGTAAGCTTGACCAAAACTTCATGGATCTGCAGACAGCTGAGTGTGTATGCTGTCTGACGTGTTTATGCAAACAGCAGGAGGTTTCTAAAGTATGTCTGAAACTGATAGCATCTGTGGCTGTGTGCATGTAACTGCAAACCTGCTGAATCCAGGTTGGCGTTCGAGTGGGCTGATTTGTGAACAGTGGTGCCCCCTGCTTGCAAAGTGCTTGTCGACTTGCTTAAATGCATGTTGGACTTGTGAGGGTCATTTAAGTCGAGGCAAACTAAGACGAGAGTTGCCAAACAGATGCGAGAAGCTTTGTTTCATTTGCGTGTGCGGCACCCTGCAGCTGTGAGTCCTCATGTGCATCTTGTTAAACCTCAACCCATCATTTTCATCAGCAGCTTCCCCGCCATCGCCGCTCTCAGCCTCTCTGTAATTCCACTTAGAAAACAAAACAAAATAAAGCCGTGCGTGCGGTGTTGTGCTCCCGAGTAGCTACCAGAGCGCGGCTCCTGTGCGTAACTCGGCTTTGATCTCTCTCTGTAAATTAAACATGCCTTTTTAGATAACAGGCTCCCTGGCACCTGCAGAGTCAAACTGTACCTCCGCGCTTCACATCCGCTCCCGTCCCTGATTTGAACTCGGTAAAGTTGATTCAAGTCAGCACAGTGCCGCTTTATTGGGATCAACCTTGGTTGTGTAAACCTCTGTGGGATAATTAGGCTGCAGTTAGACTGTCAGATGTGCAGATTACAGACAGTTCTGTGACGAATCTCAAATATGACAGTTGACTCTCTTTCATACAGAGAACAGGAGAAATGTGCACCAAGTTGGGAAAGGTAAAAGCGGTCGAGTATGGGGTCAAAAAATGGGTCAGCGTGAACACTGTGCTTGACCTTTGACATCAGCTGCAAGAACTTATTTTGCAAAGCGACCAATAGGCTTGAATTTGAGGATGGAACCAATACTTGGATCAACTAAAATTACTAAAAAATTAAAATTAGGGATGAAATCTTTACTACTATTACAACAATTTTTTTTTAGCCGTCTAAAAGCTGATGCCATCTTTCTTTTTATGCCAATGTAAGTCACCAGATAAATACCTGATATAAGCCCATACCAACATTTGCATCCATAGTGCATAAATGTAAAAGGTGGGAGAATTTGTACCTTTTGTCTTTTGTTTGGGTGCCAATTTAATATTTTTAGATCTTTGAGTGTCAGAGCTAGCATATTAGCTAATATTAGCTAATATTATAATGCTCTTTCACAAGGATATGATGTGCATCTCAAACTGCACGGCAACCTTTGGAGCTCTCTGTGGTCCTTCTGCCTCAGTGGCCCTGCCTGCCCGTTTTCCGCTTGAGGTCTTTGAAATGCTAATCACTTCTCCTCTTCTCTTTTTTTTCCTCTTCATCTCTCCTCCAGATTCTTCCACCAACTACATCAGGCAGCTGGAGACGAAAGTGCGGATACTGGAAGACGATAACAATAAGCTCCTCTCACAGGTGAGGCTTGCACAAGGACACACACACACAGGCACATGTGCCATGCCGCAATTAGCCCACTTGAGTTTCCGTCTAAACGTATACCCTCGCTAAACTCCTCTTGTGCGAATTTTTAACTCATCCTCAACGCATGACAGGAAGCTGCGATGACATAAAATCGTTGCCTAATGCTTCTGTGAAGCTACCCCTTGCAACAGGCTCCCTGTTAGTTGGGGAATATGTTTATCCATGTTTAATTCATAGGGAGTCAGTAAGCTTCAGTAGCGTGCACTGATGTTAGCCCCCGAGGCGAACTGTGGGAGCGGAGCAGAGATGAGAGGAGGAAAAAGAAGGGGAAAGAGGCATTAAGTGACAGTGACAGAGTAAAGGATTTATCCCCAAAGCTGACCTTGCTCTGACTTCTCCCAAATTTGGAGGATGGAGGGCTCGGTGAGGGAGGGGGTGTGTGCAAAAACGGGGTGGGGTGTGTGTGGAATGCTGGTGTGGTTCACCAGAAGGTCACATGTCAGTCTGCGGAGGTGTGTTTACCCAGTCGAGCACAAACAGCAGATGACGAAATCGAAGCACACTAATCTGGTCACGTGAGGGGAAATCTGATTCATGAAGTGTTCGACTAATTATTGGCAACAAAAAAAAACAGCTCAGGCTTTAAGTTTATAATTTGGCCTCTTTAATTTTATCGCATCATTTTATGGTGCAAGTCGGTTCGTTTAATGCAAATCAGGTTGCACAGAGACGAGGCTGAATTTCACACTATAATTTGAAGTCTTCTTTCCCACTTATATCCCAGCAGATTCATGTGTAGGCAGAGTGTAGGCTGTTATCACTGACATGAAACCTAAACGATCCTCATAATTATCTCTTACGCGCTACAGTTAGGTGTTACACATTGTCTCGCAGCAGTCCAAGCATAGAATATGAACTCCCGTCTTATAGTTTTTGTTCACGTTGTTTTCTGCAGACGTGATGTTGGGATATGAATGTGTTCAAGTGCAGTGCAAAATGTGAAACTGTTGAGACTGATTTATTTATTTATTTTTAACAAATACATTACCTTAATTTTATGTGTTTAAATCCATCAGCAAAACAGTTGCTTCCATTGCTGTTCACGGCTCCTCACAGAGCGAAACAACATAATAAACCATTCCACCATTATGTTTTTCTCTCCCTAGGCTTATAGCCGCTATAGCTTATCGCAAATACAGACGAGAAAGGTAATCTTCTGTGATGTCTGTGTTTGTTGGCTCTTCTGCTGGCCGGTTGGTTCAGTCTGTTTGGCCCTTTCACTCTTTTTACTCGTTTGGTGGTGGGACTTTTCACATCTTTGAGCTTCTTGCTTTCTCTTCTGTAGAGGGCTGACACTATCAAAGCAGCAGCTGTACAAGGCAAGGTGACTCTTTGCAGTAATGTTTTATGTTGTGCCTTTCAGACAAGGAATCACCTCTGTGGTAATGTTTAAAGGGTAGGAATATGATGATTTGTTCCCTTGATGGGATTAAGTTATTATGACGCAACAGCCTGTAGTGTTTTTTAGCTTAGCATAAAGGCTAGACGCTAGCTAGACTGCGGCAAAGATCGGGACTGTGACATCATCCACTGGCTTCTGAAGAAACCATTTCCACTTTGGTTAAAAAAACAAATCTAATATGACGAGGAGGGGTGGGTCTGACCGTCAAACCACTTGCTCATCGGCTATGAATTTGTCAATATCAAATCGTTAGCTAATGAGCATACCGCAGATAATCCTCCAGTTTGAAACCTATTAGGACCAGGATTTATGAAATACACTTAATTTTCATGACCAAAAATGAGCGACTGAGCCCATAAACGCAGCTGGAAAGTATTTAAAAAAGTCAACTCAGAAATCCATTTTCACATAAATTACAGGACCTGAAATCATTTTGTTTTTAAGCAAAAACTACAGTGGAACTGAGAGGTCAAACGGACTGCAACTTAAGAAAACACCAGCAATAAGAAAAACGCTACAAAAGCACACAAAACACAACGGAAATATGAAAAAACTGATTTCCAAAAGCACAAGGGAAGTGTTTCTGGGGAGACAATAACCCGACGGACTATTTGCAGGAAACAAAATATGCCAATAATTTTGCCGATAAACACTTAAAAGAAGTGGAGGATCTATTAGTTTTGTGAGAAAAGAAAAGATGAGAGGTAAGTGTGTTAGCTTAACTATTAGCCTAAAAATCCGTCATCAGTATTTTATGAATCATGAGATTAAAACACACTTACTTAGCATGTTTTGGTTCCTGTAACTGGTCCGTCGGGTTATTGTCTCGCCAGAAACACTTTGTGTGCTTTTGCAGCATTTTTCTTATTTCTTAAGTTGCAGTCCGTTTGGCCTCTCAGGGCCACCGTAAAAACACTTTGGATTTACCCACTGTCTGTGGTTCAAAGTGCTAACATAACAGTATTATTAACACTTAGAACTTCTAATTAACATAATATATCTCATGTTTTATACCATTAAAAAAAGTTAAATAACACATAACTTCTGTTGCTTATCAGTGGTCAAATCATGAGAGAGCGTGTTATCAGACTCAAACGAGCTTTGTCCCCATCACTCCCTCTCGTCCTGTAGTGCTAAACTAACCGGTTTCTGGTTGTGACTTCATATCATTGATACACACCTAATATTGATATTGATCTCCAACTTTTCGTAATACAGTAAAGTGCATTGACAAACATCACCACAGAAATGATTCACCTTGTGATTGTGCCGGTTTTCCGAGAACACGGGAAGTTAAATGCACCGCCTTGCAGGGTTGTGGCTTCTGTGTCCAGGGGTTTCCTTTCTGTGCTGCTAGCATGCTGTGCTAATGAATGAACACAGGTGGCCCTTGCTTGTACATGGCCTTTCTTGGCAAGAAAGCTTTTATCTGTCCTTGGAACTGCTCCGCACAGTGTTTGGTACAAGGTAACTTAAGTGAATGAATGCTACATTGTGCTTTGGTGCATAAATGACACACGCATGTCCTAGCTTGTGTTGACGTCTGGAGGGCTGAATAATTAAAGATCCGGGGGGCAAGCCAGGTAGATTCAGGCATCTGTTATGCATGGCCGAAACCTTTGTGGGAGTGCAACTGAACAATGAAGGACTGTCAATCTGAAGCTGAAAAATATGAATCTGTAATCTCTGGTTGTTGTTACTAAACATGACTTTCCCACAGAGGTGATAACAGGAAAATATTGGGTGAAAATAAGAATTACTGAAGTTTACCATTCAGTTAGATTTCATGATATCCTACCTGATGACGTGTGTGCATATTAGCAGGTTCAATTGTTACAATGGATTATCTTCCCCAGTGGATTGTATTGCCTAACTTCCTGTGTTATGAAACCGGCCCAGCGAAACTTGTGTTCAGCTAGAGGAAACAATGGCCTCTTAGTGCAGGAATGCTGACCCTCCAGACCAGCTTGGCTGAGGTATTTTAACCATACTCAAGGGAGCGTGGAGGGAGTTAACAGCAGGATCCCACAGTGGATATTAACATTAACAAGGGCCTACGCAGCCCAGGTGTAAACACAATTAGAAAAACAGGTGTGTGCACTCAGATGCACACATTCAGACATGCTCAGACACGCGCATCCTCCTCAGGCTTTCTCCCACTAAGCTCTCCCATTTCTTCCAGCTGTTACTTGTCTCTAGTCGAGCTCGCACACGAACTCCGGACGATGTTGAGATAATCTGGTCCGGACGTTGTCGGAAGTTCACTCTTGGTAAATACTGTTTGGTTTAGGTCAGGGTGAGTCAGGCATCTTGTAAACTTTGCATTTGGGAGCTTGCAACCCAAAGCACTTTTATCACCCAATGTCAGAAATTTGCGCCGTCGTTGAGAGAGGCTCAGACCTGTGGAGAAAATATCTTTTGTCAACTCACTACAGTGTGTGAAGCACTCATGCGCTCCTCCTCAATCCACACTGACACTTTGTCATGAAACTGACAAGTGTAAGCACGTAATGATCTGTATATCAGATGATGCTCCGTCCCCTGAGTCACTGCAATAAGCCCCAAACTCTCAAACACTTAATGTTATGGCTGTCAGGCTTTGCATTCATGGCATAATTAGGTAACAATAATGATGGAAGAGCGACGTATTTAAGTTTAAAGACCAGGTCATTGATTTCAGATGCAAAAATACTGAGGCTAAAGCTGCTTGTCCCAGATTAGCATCCATACTGCACCGGCATATGATGTACAGCCCAACTGTCTAACGGTGTAACTGTGATAAGGAAACGCCTCTTATTTCAGTCTAGCACGAGTTACTCTGATTTAACAGTTTCCATCCTGTATTTGATTAAATCACGGCTCTGGAGGAGCATCCCGCTGTCCTTCCTACCCTTTTGTCAAAGTGGCATCACCCCTGCCCCTCATAATTCAAACAGGAAACGATGCAAGACACCCACAGCATCTTCCCGTCAGCACCAAGAACATTGTGATGGATGGATAAGATGCAGGGCCCCTGAATTTTAGCCAGGAAGACTGCAGCGAGCCAACTGTCCTCAGCTGTCTGGCAAACAAATGGCTTTGCTGGTCTCAGCGGTCAAGGTCATGTCGGGGTGGGAAGTAAAGTTGGAGATGTGTGATGGTTAAATGAAAAGCTAGACTCAGGGAGAGGTCTGCATCGGTAACATAAAACTCTTTAGCAAGCCTTCTTATTCAGGTGATCAACTATGCGTTTATGTCACCCCTCTTGATTTTGACATTTAAGGTTACCAGACACAAAGCTTATAGAGATGTCAAAAAAGATGCACTATTGAGGGCATGAATATGGAAACTGAAAGGATAGATCAAGAAGCGCCAGGGGGAGGACTGGAAAAGGTTAGAGGAACATTACAAGGATACTGAGTTGGAGGAGAGAAGAGGAGCAGGAATATCAAAGGACGGGGAAGACGAGGGGAATGCTGATTGTGGCTTTGTGCGTGCGAGCGTGCACCTGAGTGCGTCACACACACACACACAGATAATACAAAGGCAGACAACACAGCACAATGTCCGGGCATTCATAGACACACACCCACAGCTCAACGGGTTATTTATAGCTGAGCGCTCCCAGGCATCACGTGTGTTCATGCACCGCGCCACGCACAGAGGGAACACTAGTGCGCGACACGAGAAATGTCACAAGAAACAGTGGTGTTTGCCGTGTCCCTGCCTGCAGAGCGAAGCTGGGCTGGTAACTGCCCCCCAGGAACCAGTGGTCTTTGGCTGCTAATGAGGACAAATTTTAGGCATGTTGCCCCTATGTAGTGAACCTCAATGAAGGCAAAACGGGATACTTCCGCACACGAGCAATGGCGTGAGAGTGATGAGGAAAAGTGCCTTGTATGGTGAGGGAGACACAGCCAAAGACTTTAATAAACCCCCTTGGATGGAAATACCAACGGGCAAAACCTGGGTAGTAACAAAGATGCTAGTAGTTGTGCGTCTAGTGACACAGATGCAAGAAGAGAAAATTGGTGTAAAATTGCTTCACAGGCAGTGTTTTCTCTGTTTATGTGCACAAAACTGGGCTAATCTCTATCAAATGTTGGTGATGGTACTTGCGAGTACCTCAGGATTTTGAGTATTTGAGTAAAAAGTGGCCGTTTTTATGTTAAAATATCTCTCATAGAGGCAAATACATTGATTTTTGTCAACATTGTCAGAATGAATATTAAAGTCAAATTAGTGCCAAAGTGAACAAACTGACAGGATTCCCTGTGTGTTTGCACTCTGTCTTGGATTATTAACTTTGATTTATTAGCATGCAGTGAAGCCACTCTTTGGGTAATTTTAGGTAAAACTCACATTGAAGTCTTATTTTTCTTCTTTTTTTTTCCTTTGGTGTTTGTTTTGTGACCGTTTGTGTCCAGCAGTGTAACCCAGGTGACCTTCGTGCCCTGAGGAAGGGAATGACTCTGTACCACTCAGAGTCCCAGCTGTCCTCACTGCCCCAGCGCCAGGAAGCCATGCACATGGTCAGTAATGAGAAGACTGACACACACGCACACATACGCAAACACACAAATTTGGAGAAGGCTAACCACCTATACTAAGATTCACACTGACACGCTTAGATGAATACCCGCTCACACTAACCGCTAAGACAATAGTCACAGCAATCAGTCAGCGCTATGACACTGCTTATACAGATGTGGTTACATAAAGAGACAGGGCTTAATTGCACACAGACATGCACATGCTTAATTGTAGGGAGCGCTATGCCAGTGCCTCCACGGCAAAGTCAAGTCAGCTCTAATTCACTTTACTTCTCACACTCCAATTAAACCTCCACAGGCAACCTCGCTCTCGCTTACACGTGACAGGAAGAAGAAAAAAGAGAGAGGGAGAAGAAAAGGAATGAAAGGAAATGGGGCATAAGGGGGATGATCCAGACAGAGTCTTAGACAGAAGAGAAACTAAGGCAGAGACCAGGATAGAAATTTAGCATAGTCAGCACTCTTCCTCATATCCTGTCCCTGCTTTTTCTTCCTCCCTGGAGCTTGTTTGAACCAAATTCCACTATGAAAATAATAATCCACTCCACCTCCACCCTTAACCCTGCCAATGTCTTCAGGAGGAGAGGATTGGCAATTAAGGAAGGTCAGAGTCGGGCTGTGCCGCTCCTCAGAAGACTAAATCTTCCTTGTGTTAAAAAAAAATATATTTTTTTTTTGTTTTAATCACAGGGTTATTTTGCAGCACAGAGGTAAATTGTGAATTGTAGGTTCCCCATATTTACAGTGTAGTTTTATATGAAATAAGGTCAAACTTTTGATGTGCTATGAATAAGACATTTAACAGGCATGTGTTGTGAAAAAATATGCTGGATATAAAAATGTTGGATATATTTGATTAAATCATCATGTAACTATATTTTTGCTTTAGCATCATGAATTTGGTATTAAAATAGATTTTTATGTATTGTTAAATTAGAATTATTAGCAGCAGCGCCTTTTATTCATTGTTTCATTTATTCATCATTTCATTGTGTATTTAGTGGTGCGTCTTAAAAATTCAGTCCACACCAATTTTGGTGACTGTTAAATTATGTATGGATGACGTACGCCGAACAAACGCAAGCGATGATTAAATGTACATAATATATCAGAAAAGAACATATTTATATTTATGTTACATCCATAAGAATTGGGATGTAATATAAATCGAAAAAATGTATAGATATTAATAAGTATGTGTGACAATATTTCAAAGTTCTTTCTTAACTGTCGCTCTGTTAAGGAGGAGATGGTTTATGTATGTACACATCCTATGATCGTTATAGTAACATTTTCCTGAAAACTAGCTGCTACGCTTTGCTAATGTTTAGATTTAGATTATTATTTTATGCTTTATATTTATATTTAAATATTTCTAAGATTATATATGTTGCTCTTTAGATTGAACAACTTAACTCGAAATTTCGAGTTACTTTTCTCAAAATTTCGAGTTAATAACTCTAAATTTCAAGTTAGCTCTGCCAATCAGTGATCTATGTAGAATTCGCACTCAAAACCAGATCGTAACAAATTGGTGCTTTTGAGAGTACGTTTGGTGATAGTAACGCCATGTGATTCAGCTATTAACACAAAGATTTCATCATTTGTGAAGCCACGCTGAAAATTATCAGTAATTTGTGCATTCATGACTGGCTATAATACTAGTAGTTTAGCTGTAGCATTTGTAGCTGAGGGCTTCAGCTTCCGGTTAACAAGGAAATGACATAATTCACGTACAGTAGATTACTGATTGGCAGCGCTAACTCGAAGTTTCGAGTTACTTTTCTCAAAATATTGAGTTATTAACTCGAAATTTCGAGTTAAGTCGTTCAATCTAAAGAGCAACATATATAATCTTAGAAATATTTAAATATAAATATAAAGCATAAAATAATAATCTAAATCTAAACATTAGCAAAGCGTAGCAGCTAGTATATGCTTATATAAATATAAAAAGCTGTGAAACTCTTATTCAGAGAGAGAAGAGAGGAAGTAAAGAGAGTGGCAAGCTAATAGCTGCTAGTTGTCAGTTAGCCTAGCTTAGCTTAGCTTAGTGATAAAGCGGTGAGAAATGGCTCGTCTGGAGCTATTTGACAGTAAAATAATCCACCACCATGACTGTAATATGTTCTTGTGGGTTTATAAATTGTACAATAAAGGCAGATTTTTTTTATTTTATTTATTTATTTTTAGCTTTTTCTGCTAATGGCCTTGTTTCTGACAAGCCCACAGAACAGCACTAACGTTGAGCTCTGTAGTTTGCCCAGTTCATGTTGAGGAGCAGGGAAAGAAGGCATAAAATCGAAGATGAGATGTGGGACTTCAGAATGACTTCAGTGAAGTGGACTCTTAGTTGTGTGTGTCCCTCCCAATCGATCAGCTCATCCTCTATATTCACTTCTTTGTCTTACTCAAAGTTTCAGGTCAGTGAGCGTACATGAGATTGTCAAATAGAAGACGCTCAACAGTCTGTGCTCATTTTCGTATGTTTAAATTTCAAACCATTGCTCCTGACAGTGTTTGTCCCCCTGCCTGCCTCCTGCTGCAATGACCCAAATCAGCCCTGTTAATGCAGGAGATGCTTACAGTTACGAGCAGTAAACACTGCCCCGAGCTATCTGTGTCCAAATCCTTTTCTTGACTGCACTGCTCTTGGCAAATGCTTGCAGTGAATGTTTACATATTTCAAATATTAAATATCACAAAAGGCTTAACGATGAATTATACATTCATACTTTCAGTCAGACCAAAGTCCACTTCACTGTATGGAAGCTGTTACCTTTTGTTGGTATAAAGATAGAGTCTTAACTCACTGGAAAATTGAAGCGCTTGTAAAGTATGGATGGGTCTTTGTGATGCACACACAGATAATTGGATATCATAAATGGCATAAATTTTAAAAACAACTCCATTTGTCTTTTGTATTACGTGTTTTTACACACAAAGTTTTGCAAGCGTGATTTTTAGGTCAAACATGAGCGAGCAGCTGTTGCAACGAGCGAACTCAACTGTGTCTGTGGAATACTAAACAAAATGTTTCCCTCGGATGTCTGGATGAATTTGCTGTGTTGTTTAGCTGCTCTTTGATCAGACAGTTGCAGATTTAAAGAGAAACCTTGGAATCCACACAGGCAAAAACAAAACGGTGGGTAAATTTAATATACTAAATATGTGCAAAAAAGGGGGCTTGGACTGGCATCTGCACTGGATTACATCAAGTATCAAACCAGTCCAAGCTTTTCTGGTACTGTATGTAATTAAGTGGATGTCATAAATGGTTGTTTTGATGTAGTTACTAAACTAAGACACTGCGTCAGTTCAAGTGCTGGCAAAATGTGCAAATGTACACTCACATTCACTTTCATCCTATTTTTCTCATGTCAGAGCTTGTAAATATAATGCTCAACCTGTCTGAGGATAACATCAAATTATGCTTAAAAACATGGAAACGTGCCGTTAAGCTCTTTTGCCACTTTGACCTTTTCTTGTCCAATGGTTGAAAGAATACTTTTCTTATTGGTTTGTATGGCCAAAAGCCTCTAGATGTAAATCAGTGCTTTGTGCGGTTTATGTGATGTGAATAAACTGCTGGGCAGTTTCCACAAATCGGTCCTCTTGGGTGCAGTGGGATTATTATTTTATCTCCGTGCTATCAGGTTACGTGGGATCATTCTGGCACCCAAATGGGGCCAGCGGGCATGGAGGGAGCTGACAGGCGCATCACTAGCGAGCAGAGAATTTAACCCAGGCTAACAGAGCCAGGGATCTGTGTCTAATGCAAGACCCCGATGCCAGGTTACGGTGAATGGGACCCATTGTGTATCCCAGTGATCTCTGTGTCCCTCAGACAGAGACCCACTGTCTGGAACTACCCGGGAGGGGGGTGGTGATGAGTCAAGCAAACTCCCCCTCAGTCTCTTTCCTGGCTGGCTGCTCCCATCACACCAGGTTAAATCACTCTGTGCAGGTAGCAGACCAGAGGAGGGAGTGGAATACAAAAGAAACAGGGAAGAAAAACACCAGTGGAGGATTGGTGATTTGAGCTGGTATGAAGGGGGTGACATTTTCAGTGTGACAGTACAGGAATACTCTCTTTTTAAATCCGAACAGGTGCCCCCTGATGGGACGAGTGGGGCCTCTTTTTTGGTATCTTGACTCAAATGAAGAGCTCTTTGCAGATGTCCTGGCTGGTGCAGGTTTGCACCTGCCTCTTAACCTCTGTCACAGTTCTCCCGCTCCCTAACATCTTCATCATTGTTATGTTATTGTTTCTTTCTCTCACTCTCTGTTTTTCTCTCCCCTTAGGGGACTGGACGCCTACCAACTAGCGAGTCCTCTCCAGCTACAGGCTATTTGTCCTGCGTCCAAAAGCCTGAGGCTGTGGTCCATGCCATGAAGGTAATATTAGTCAGGGAAATCAATCACAGGGTGTAATTGTTGGTAAACAGTGTTACAGCTTTTGTATCATTGATGCAGCTGTGATGCTATCATAGTGCTGTTCCTGGAGAATTTGCAGGATGATGCCTGAAGGCTATTATGGTATAGCTGCGACCAGCGTGACAGTTCAAATGTGGGAAAAACACATTTGTTGCTAATGTAATGTTACTTTCTTTTAAATGGTTAAAAGGGGGTAGCATTATATTAGCAGATAAAGTAGTACCAGACCATGCCTAGAAGTACTTAACCATGTTCAAGTGGGTCAGGCTGGTAGCGCTATGGAAAAAAACAAGAACACATTGGCAGTTAGGCTGGAAGATAACAGCGTTGCCTAGTGTAGTTCTGTAAATACAGAAGGAAAATAAGACGTGTCCAACCCTGTGTCTGCCATCAGGTGCTGGAGGTCCACGAGAACTTGGATAAGCAGGTTCCTGAGGACTATGAGGATGATCTCAGCGAGAAAGAGAAGGCCATTGTGCGAGAGATGTGCAATGTAAGTGCACCTCCTGCTCCCACAGATGTACTCGCATCCCGGTCTTTATTCTAATTGTCTGTGTGTTGTCATGATTATTGGAGAGCCTGAAAGTGGGGGGCTAGGTGGGTGTCTGAGCTCTCACACAGGTCTGTTGCCATCACTGCAGAACCACTTAGCTAATCACACCACAGGTTTGTCACTGATGTAGTGCCAATAATATAAAATGCACTATATGCAGACCATTAGTGTAACAATGGAAAAATGAGGAATTTGATAGTTGTAAATTCAGTCTGTTCATTAGCTTTTTTAATTCATTATACTGGATTCAAATCAGGTCAGTTTTGAGCCTTTTTGGCTAATGAGGAACTCGTTTGGGCTCATTTGGTTTGGAATGACACAGCAGCTCTGCCTCTTTCTTTCTTTCTATCCATCCCTCTGTCTCTCTTTTTGTGCCCCCCTTTTCCACTCCAAAGCTGAAAGCCCAAAGTATAGAGGCTCATAGTTGAGCTGTCAGAGCAATTAAACTGGTGCGGCAGGAAAAAGAGCACCACCCCCTCCTCCCTCCCAATAGCACTCCTCCACCTCACCCTTCTATTCTTCCACCTCTCATTTTCCCCTCATCTTTCTCTGTCTGTGCTGAAAAGGCCTTTCCCAGGATAAAAAGGTCTGCTGATTAGAGCGAGTACGAGAGTGGGGTTATCTGGGCCCTGCAGAGGTATGTGACAGGCCAGGAATGGGGAAGCACTACAATAGTACCTCTGTAACATCACCGGGGTCTCGCGGGGGCCCCTCTCACTCTCATAGAGAGATTTCAGCACCGGAGAGACGACACGGACTGAGATAGAGTCCCGTTCTTGTCTTTATGCTTTGATAGAATTGGAAAATGGGTGCAGTGCTTCATTGAAATGTTCAAACATATACAGTGTATAAGATAACAGTTGGGATAACTCCAAAGAGCTTAAAAGTCAATATTCGATCTGTCCACCTTTATTCCTTAATAACTCTCTTAAGCAGCATTTCTTAAAGTGGTGTTTGGGAATAGTTCTCCAGGCTTCCTGAAGGCCATTCATGGCTGCTTTTTGATCCCACGCTGTTTCAGTAATGTTGAAGAGGAAGGCCTGTTCATGACTGATACGGCTCCATTGTGTGCTTTTTTCCATCCGTGTACGCTTTTACTGCACTGGGAGTGTGTTTGGGATCGTTGTCATGCTGAAAAATGAAGCTGTTGCCAGTCAGACATTTTCCAGATGGTGCTACACGGTGGGTTAAAACCTCACTGTGCTTTTCTCCCTTTAAAATTCCATAAATCTCCAACACCACTGGCTGAAACGCTGCCCAAAACCATGACAGGGCCTCCACCGTGTTGTACACATGGCTGTTGTCCCTCTCTCCTGACCTCGGCCATACATACACACCCTGCCTTTCTTAAGAATGGGCCACCCCTTCTACTGAAGCCATTTCTGATCAGGTTTCAGTGAACAGTAGACGTATCAACTGAAGAATGAGTCCAAAGAAACACTTTGAAAGACCTTCAGAAAGGCTGCAGGACTGTTGCTCAAGACCACTTAAAAAAATTATGAGAAAATCCGGCTTCTTGAAAGCAAAATATAAAGAAGCTCGAGACTTCTGCACTGCACTGAAGCTCTACTGTAGTGTGAGTGTGTGTAGTCCTCCCAGCTCAAAGCCAAACTGTGGGCATTTGAAGTTTTCCCTCTTGAAGAAGAAAGTCTTTTCTTTCCAGCCTCTGTGTCTGCCCGTCTTTCTCTCGCTGTTCCTCTTCCTCGCTCAGCTCCTCTTCTCTCCTCTTCTGTTCGCAGGTGGTGTGGAGAAAACTGGGTGATGCAGCAGGATCAAAGCTGTCCGTCAGACAGCACCTCTCTGGTAACCAGTTCAAAGGCCCGCTGTAGCATATCAGCCCTAGAGAGAGACGGAGAGATATCAGGATCCACACTCACCTGAAACGCCACCTTCCCACCTGCACCTACACGGACCCGTCACGCCACCGTGCTCCCCCCTGCCGACAGCACCCGGCATTCCTCCGGCGAACGCTCTCTTTTTAGACTGGCTACAGAATGGACCTGTTAGTCTCGTTGTTGCCTGTATACGTTTTTGGATCTCTGCGCTGACATGTTGACAGCCGGCAGCTAGTGTCACCAACCCGCCACTTTTCTGCATCGGTTTGGAGGCTTTCTCTTTTCTCTCTCTGTAAACAAACACCCGCTTTCGCTCCTTTAGAGCTTAGCTGAGCTGTAATAAGCTAGGGATGAGACGTGGTTTCGAGCACAGGTGACGGGGGTGGGGGGGCAGAAGTTGGCAACAGTGAGGCGATTAATACTAGTTTCTATGGAGAGAGACACCCCCATCCCCTCCCGAGCTCCTGTCACATGTATGACCCCGCCTCCCCACTTCCTCCAGCGGTCAATGAGTATAACTAGCATTAGCATTGTATAATGTTAGCCAAGTGAAACCCACTGTGACCTAGCGCCTTTTTGCTCGTAAGACAAGTCTATGGATAATAAAGTCTAGAGATCGCTGTTAACTCGTGTATATTATGTATAAAACCATAGCATTACGTCATTGTTTCTGTTGATTTGACTTTATTTTGTATTCTAGCGTGGCCATGTGATCAACAATTGAGTTTTAAAAAGCACACACATACACACCTACATATACAAACACACACAGACCTCAAACAGGGTTTGCTTTTGGTAATACTCTTTTTTTTTTGTTATTGTCATTGTTATCATTATCATTCTTTTCCAGATGAATTGCTCTTACTCCTTCTCTCTGTAATGTTCGTTCAAATGTATCCGGGCCATTCTGAATCTGCCGTCTCGCTCTGTTTATTAAGGAACAGATAAATTTTCTTACTTTTGTGAAACGGGCTAAAAATTGTATGCTGTGTGCATGCTTGACAATCATTCTCTCAGGTTGGGAGGGCTACAGCTTTACCTTTGCCCATCTGTGACCGTGCGCGCATGTGTGTGAGTGTGTTTAAGAGTGTGAGTCTGTGTGGGAGGAGACTGAATGGTTGGAGCTGTAGCATCTGCCTGTGAATCCTCTTTTTTTGGGCCATTGAACCCTGGTTACAGCCCGATTGAAGGCTGCTGAAGACATTTTCTGAATCCATCCAAAATAAAATGTAATTCAATAACTAAAATATCCTGAACCTCCCCACTCAGTTTGATCTGCTCTGAAACTTTTTTTATACAGTGGTTTGAAAAGTGCATGTTTGTCACAGTTGCAGGTTTCAGATCATCAAACTAATTTAAATATTAGATAAAGAAAACACAAGTAAACACAAAATGCAGTTTCTAAATTAAGGTGTTTATTATTAATGGGGAAAAAATCCAAACCTGCATGGGCCTGTGTGCAAAAAGTGATAACTGGTAACCTAATAACTGGTTGGGCCAGCAAAAACCGCAATAAAGCAGCAACAACTGCAATCAAGCATTCACAATAACTGGCAATGAGTCTTTGACAGCGCTGTGGAGGAATGTTGGCCCTCTCATCTTTGCCGAATTGTTGTAATTCAGTCACATTGGAGGGTTTTCGAGCATGAGCCGCCTTTTTAGGGTCCTGCCACAGCATCTCAATCGGATTCTGGTCAGGACTCATTTTACTTTGCTTAAGCCATTCAGAGGTGGTATTGCTGGCGTGTTTTGGGTCACTGTCCTACTGCAGAACCCAAGTGCGCTTCAGCTTGAGGTCACAAACAGATGGCCGGACAGTTGTAGGATGGTTTGGTAGACGACAGAATTCATGGCTCCATTTACAACAGCCAGTCTTCCTCCTGAGGCGGATTAGCAGCTCCAGCCCATCACACTACCGCTGTGACCCTTTCCAGACTGAAAGCTGTCAGTGTCTTTGTTTCTCAGGTGTTTCTTCGAGTCGTAGCATGATGTCTTGCTTTTTGAGATCTTTTAGCCTGCTCCACTTTGTCAGACAGGTTCTATTTAAGTGATTTCTCGATTCAACAGGTCTGCCAATAATCAGGCCAGAGTGTGTTTAGTGAAACTGAACTGTGTGGGGGGTTTTTTTGGGTTTTTTGGGTTTTTTTTGTTTGTTTGTTTTTTTTTTAACTGAACTGTGGTTAATCACAGTTAATTCCTGATTTAACAACAGGGGCAATTACTTTTTCACACAGGAACTGGTAGGTTTGGATAACTTTTCTCCCCTAATCAGTGAAATCACCATTTAAAAACAGTGTTTTATACTTACTCGGGCTGTTTTTGCCTAATATTAAAATGTGTTTGATGATCCAAAACATGTAAGTGTAACAAATATGCAAAACACTGGGAAATCAGGAAGGGGGCAAAGACTTTTTCACACCACTGTATCTCTGACGATAAGGGTAGGGAAAGAAAAGTCACATAGATGGATATTAGACCGTTTCTCGCATCATGGATTCAGCAGGTGTGTTTATGCAGTGCGTGTTTTATTGAAGTTATTTTTTCTTTTTTAGAATATGAGAAGTCTTCCCCTTGATGTCTCCGTACCATAATACACTAACATTTAAAACAAAAAACTTTTCTTGATGTCAAAATGAACAAATACTGTTTGTCGGTGTATTTATTGCCAGGTGTAACATAGTGAGATAGAGATGGGAGCGCAGTTGGTAACTGAACGGTCACGTTTTAAACTCATCAGACGGATTTCGTGTTATTAAAGTTGTCTGATGAGTTTGCCGAGTGACTCGACAGCTCAGGCTCTCCCATCTCTAGTGTTATTTGTTCCAAATTAGAACATTTCTGAGGCTACCCGTTTGTCCACCTTGGTACTCTCAATTAAAGGGTTAAAATATATAGATATATATAATAATAATAATCAAAGTATGATTTTTTTTTTTTAAGTGTCCTTTTTCTAGGAACCGATTTGAAGCCATTATACAATTTTGAATACTTTATATATGGCAAATGATTTGAGACGTGCCACACTGTTTTCTTTATTGTGTTTTAATTTGGACCCAGCTGTATATTTGAAGAAAAAAAAAAAGAGCATCTGTAGTGTTTTTTTTCCTGCCTATATGCTAAAGCCACAATACAGAAACCTAGAATCTACAGTGTAAATGTCTATTCCTTTAGTAACTAGCATGACTGGAACCTCTTTTCGTGGTTTCACCAATAAAGGAGAATATTTCGCTGGTGAGACCGAAAACATGAAATAGTCCACTTTTAGAAACATTTGGAAGAAAATAAACAAGTTGCTTAATGATGTTGTGAACGGCTCTTTATTTAAGCATGCGCTACATTTTTTTTTCATTAGCTGGGATAGGCTGCCCTCTGGTGGCGGAACAGTGGAAATGAAAATGTAAAACCAAAAACTGGAATGCGCACCACTGGCCAATTTATTAGGTACCCCTGTTCCCTTCAAATCTGCCTTCATTCTTGGCGTAGATGTTGAAAACAAAACAGTGATTTTGGTCCACGTTGGCAGGATAGGATGACACAGTTTCTGCACATTTATGGTGAAAAATGGACATGTAAGTAAAGTTTATTTATATAGCACCTTTCACAGACATATGTCACAAAGTGCTTTACAAGGTAAAAACATAATACAGTCATAAAACACATCATAAAAACCCTGGTCTGCAACAATACTCACACAGGCTTTTAAATGTGGCATTTAAATGATGCTCATAGCGTATAGGTTGTGCTGGATCAGGTGACCCATGATGCACTGAGTGTTTCTTCTTCAGTCACCTTTCTCAATAAATCTCTGTCTCTCTTCCACAGCATGTCTTTATCCTGTCTTCCTTCTCTCTCCCCAACCAATCACAGCAGATGGCCCCGCCCCTCCCTGAGCCTGGTTCTGCTGGAGGTTTCTTCCTGTTAAAAGGGAGTTTTTCCTTCCCACTGTCTTACTTGCTCATAGTGTGTCATGTGATTGTTGGGTTTTTCTCTGTATGTATTATGATGGGGTCTACCTTACAATATAAAGCGCCTTGAGACTGTTGTTGTGATTTGGCGCTGTATAATATAATTGTATGTTCAGAGATGCTCTTCTGCATACCTTGGTTGTAATGACTGGTTATTTGAGTCAGTGTAGCCTTCCTATCATCTCAAAGCATTCTCCTCTGACCTCTGGCATCAACTACGTATTTTTGCCAAGAGATCTGCTGCTCACTTTCTTTCCCATTTAACTTCACCAGGTCATCATGACTACGTCTATCTGCCTAAATGCTCTGGGTTGCTGCTATGCGATTGATTAGATATTTGCGTCAATAAGCAGTTGAATGGGTGGACTGAAGAAGTGGGGGAGTATCATTTTCACTGCTAAAACCGATTAGTGGAAAAGGTATCTGCTCATCTGTCTGTATCCTGGCCTCTGTTCATAAACATTTGACTGGTGGAGATAAAGAGGAACATGAGCTGGTGTGTAAAGGGTGGGAGAAATCTAAGAAGCAACACCTTCTCTCTTCACACAGACCCCATTTTCAGCTATGAAGAGCAGGTGACGAGAACTTTTCTTACACCTAAACCAAAGCACAGAGTAGTCTAAGGCAGTTTTATACAGAAGTGCTCAAAAAAACTGAAATCTACACTTGCAAACTGTCCAGTGTTAGTTGTGGTTGATCTGTGTGTGTTTCCTGCAGTGCAAGGAAATAAAAGGTGCTTAAAAGTAAGCTGGTGGTGCAGCGGTTAGCACTGTGGCCTCACACCCAGGTTTTGCTTGTTCTTCCTGTGTCTCTTTTCTCAGAGTACTTAGATTCACTCAAAAGATGCTATTTTTTATTTTTATAGTTGTTTTTATGTGTGGCTGTAGGAAAGTTGTCACTGTTTACTGATGACCTGCCCAGGCTGTAACCTTCCGCTCTTCCAAAAAGCAGTTTTTCATCCTTTTAACTATTAGTGTTCTGCGTGTGTGTTCCCACTGCAGCAACAGCCACTCAGAGGTACCTAACCCAGAGGAAGTACTTCGCTCTGCTTTCTTTGATGAACTTTTGACTCTTTTAAACTTACGGCCATAAAAAGTACCATTTAAAAAAAATAGAACCAAAGCAAAACCCAGATAAAGAACAGCTGAAGTCAGTTTTTCTTTTCTTCTTTATTGGGCTTCTTAGACCAGTGACAGTGAATGAGGAAATTATTGTTTTAATGTTTACTGCTCTGGGTGCAGAAGCGGATGAGAAGATGGGTGGTGACATGAGGGGGGAAAAGCAGCAGAAATGTCTTGCAACACTACCTCAGTGTTATCAGAGTAAAATGTAAAAAACAAACAAAAGAAAAAACGCTGTTTAAACCACAAAAAATATACAGCATGTGTCTGTTCAAGTCTTTCAATACGACAGTCCCACAGCATATTCAACCACCTTAAGCTTTTATTACACTGCTCTCAGCAGAACAATGAGAATGTGGAGAAGAGAACACAAAGTGAAGGGAGGTGTATTCAGGAAAACCAATAAAGGTGACAGAATAAAGGAAGGAACACAAGACCCAACCTTAGATCCACTCAAAGGCTGAATGAAACTGGAACATTTCACCATCCCACAATTAGTGAGAGTGCATGTATGACAACAGAAAAAAAATCTCTTATTTCCTGATAAATTTCCAGAAAAAAACTAATAAAAACAATGACTGGACAGTGTTTCTCATAAGCTCCTGGAACTGGGCACTGTGAGTACCTATCCTCTACATATTTGCTAATTTGTTAACCTTCCTATCACCTCCCATAACAAAACTGTCCAGACCTCACTTTATCTTTACAGTCCATTTACCTACACGCTTTCTTTCACAACCCTGCACCTCTCTATCAGAAGTTAAGTCATGAAGCAGCTCCGCTTTTCCTGTTTTGCTCCAAGATAACAAGATCCTGGTTGTTTTTATTCGCCCCAGTTGTGGCTCTGCACAAGCTCAGTTCACAGACTTATCACATTCTCATCTCATCCATGCGCCACGGTTCATAGGCATACCAGGCGGAGGGGGCAAGGGCACCTGTGACTGTCCTGGAGGCACTGGAGGTGGAGGAGGGTACCCAGTGGGTGGAAGGGCCATCCCTGGTGGAGGCACGTGGCCTGGTGGCATGCGTGGAGGCGGTGGCGGGGGGTAGTTGTTGTAGACCGGTGGTGGATAGGATGGTGGCAAGCTGGGTGGTGGGTATGTGGAGGGAGGAGGTGGTGGCCCAGGAGGAGGTGCTGAAGGTGGTGGATAGACGTGATACATTGGGGGAGCGTAGCTGGGCGGCATGGAGTAGGAGGGACCCTCAGTCTTCATCATGGACTGTAGGCTCTGGTAGCCTTCACCAGACATATAAGAGCTCGTTGTGGACATCAAGTAGTTGGAAGGTGGTGGAGGAGGAGGGCGGTGGGGCAGCGGAGGAGGCTGGTGTGGAGGTGGAGCCTGTGGGGGAGGAGGAGCTGTTTCATTTCCTGGTTCTGCTTCTGCGGGAGGAGCTGGAGTGAAAGGACAAAGTAAAGAGAAACGACTTGTTAATAAAAATCAGCTTCCCTACTGCAAAGATCTAAAATGAAGCTCTCCATTCTCAGACAGTGAGCACACGGGCAGACCAAAACTACCAGGCTTAGCCACATAGGAGGTCTCATTATGAGGCTCAAGCACTAATCAGATTGGTCTGGGATAGGTTAGGGGTATGCGTGTCTTGGGAAATAATGTCCAGACGAGATGTGGTTACGTAAGCAGACTGAAAGGACTAACGACTGTGGGCTGCTTCTAAGCTCGAGCTGCAGGCAGGGGGTCCTGGCTGCTCATTATTGGTTGCTGTGGTGGCGCACGCAAACAGAGTATTAAGAGGACGCCAGCACGTAACGATATTTTGATCCAGCTCTAAATCATTTGAACTTCCTGGACAGTGTAAAGAATGCAGATGACGTAAGCTACACAGTCACGCTTACCTGGGGGTGGCTGCGTTGTGGGTAGAGGAGGCATGGGGCTCTCCAGTCGAGGAATCTTTGATCCAACTTGTTCTGTGAATTAAATAGAAGCTTTTTAAGACAAAACAAAACTGTAACTGCGTAAGCAAATGCTTCTGTGCTCCTGGATAATCATAAAAACCTCAACCCTGCCAGGAAAATCTAACTGCCGTCTTTCATCTTTCTCTA